CCCCAAAACCCCAAAACCCCAAAACCCCAAAACCCCTCTTAATTCTCACAAATAAAATTAAATAAAACTTAATGGTGTTTACAGCTGATCATAGAAATGTTGGAGGAATGCTCCAGATCAACCAGAGGATCCAGAGCCATCATTCCAACTTGAACAAGATGAAATCAACCATCAATACAAGGATCAAGCCCAAGAAGAATGTAGCTTATATGAAAAGTGTGAGGAAGAATAAGTCTAATAAGATAAAGTATACTAGCCAGTATGACGGTAAGAACGCACTTCTGATTTTAGACATTGTATCAGTCATTTCTGCTCCATTTTATAAGATTAACACTCTCTCATTACTTAGAAATTAAAAGAAGGACTAAATATGAGAATTTATTAGTGATTTTGATTATTTTTATGTAAAAGAGTCAACAAAATATAGATAAATACATGGATCATCCAGAATTTGATGAAGTAAAAGAAACTTTTAAGAGAGCTTGTAAAGCTAAGACAAGAACTGACACTAAGAAGCCTAAGACAATGAAGTTTCTAGGGACTTTTCTAAAGAAGAAGCCTTGATATAACTATGAATTGGATCAACATTACAGAAACTTAGCAAGCCTCCATCAAAGACTTGGAGCTCTTGGCTCTGTAAGTAGAATCAATTACCCCTGTATAGCCTGAACAAAGGAAGAAGAACCCTTATGACCCGATCTCACATCCCAGCTTATTCTTTAGAAGAGTCGGTCAGGATAATAAATCAACTAATTTGGGAGGATATGAAAAGAAAGTTCAGGGAAAGTACAAGGTTAACAAAGCAGTCCATGACCTAAACAAGGCTATCATCGATAATGACTACTACTTTAATTTCAGGGATAAGGCCTATGAAGGAGCTAGCTATTATGACATTGCAAGCCGTAGTGTAAGCTTAATCTTCAAAAATCCCAAACTCTAACTTATTTCTAGGTCCAGAGGCCTTACTCAAGCAAACCCATTATATTTCCCTCTAACTTGAACTCATATGCGCAAGAAGATGTGGCAATTCCTCATGAAGAGTACCAACAGACACCTCTTAAGAGGCCAAGGACTGGGAAGAATAGGAGTATGTACTACGAGTACTCAGAGAATTCTTACAGTTCAGGAAAGAAAACGAGGTAAGCATCTCCATGACTTTCCTTATTCGGGGTCGAAGCTAATCGTTCTTTATAGAGCCAGAAGCAAATCAGCCTCTTCTAGAAGTAAGGTTCAGCTAATTTTTCAGAGAGAAAATCAAGAGCAAAGAAGAGAAAGAGCAGTGAGAAGTACGCATATTTCGCTAACTCTATAGGCAAAATTTAACTGATCAATTTGTTGATGGTACTTCACCTCTAATAATTTGTTAAGATCAAGTCCCAATGGACTCACAGGAAGAAGAGAAGCAGCATAGATTAGAGATCCCAGTGATTGCCCCTGCTGAGGATGCATTAGAGTTCCTCAAGTCCAAACTTTTCGAGATTATAATCTCCCAAAGATTGACTAAGAAGGAAGACTTGGAATTTTTGTTTGAAGAGACATATAAAGCTAATATGGTGAGTACATTCTTTCTGCCTATCTGACCTCTATATAGTCTAAAACACTGAGCAGTCCTGCTAACAAGAAAGCATACAATACAATGGTTGATGAGATTAAGGATCATATTGGGTTTGATGCATAGATAATAAGCAAGATTTGATCTAATTTAGCCCTCAAATAGGGGTTTTGGGGTTTTGGGGTTTTGGGG